ACAATGGATCAGAGGCAACAGGTCAAATTGGAACTATTGTTAAATGTATGATGGGACAATGATTTGCTTTTTCTTAGGGGTATTACAGCCCCTGGAGCTAGTGAGGTGATGATTAATGTTTTGAATTCATATCAATGACATAAATACCTATTTTAACTTGAAAGATCACACACCTGGAAAACAAGGTTAGCATTTTCATGCATTCCAAAAATTTCTGGGTCATCTATCAAAGGCAGATTTTCAATGTAGTCCTTAAACTCTTGTAGGCTGTCAGCCAGGGGTGCAAAGTAGATGCCTGTTAGAACAACACAGAAGATAAACATCTCAAATGGACTGGTTCGGAACTGCCAGGTTAGGTTCTTCGCTGTCTTGTTCAGATGATGGCTGACTCAAGTTGAAAAGAGTCTTTGCTTATCCTAAGTCTTCCTGCTTTTATTGTGCTGTCTAGTTTTGTTCCTTTTTCTTGAGGCCTTAATCAGATTAGTGCTCTAAGCTTTCAGGCTGTCTCCCCTAGAAGGTGTAAGGATTCGGAGAATCCAGTGACACACTCCTGAAAGGTGTGTCTCCTGAAAAGGCTCCAATTTTTAAAAAATATTTTTATTGTAAAAATAGTGTACAGAGGGGTTACAGTTCCATGAATAAGGTAAGGCTCCAAATTTATGCTCATTTAGAATATACTTTTTTTCATGTTAGATGAATAATAGTCCTCTCCAAATTCTTCAAACTAAAAGCTGCATTTGCAATATATTAAAATCTGTGCTCACTTAGTTTTGCCTAATGGTGGAAGGACATGTGAATCTAACTTCTTGAAATTCAATGGTGGGAGATTTGTTGAGCTTATTCTATACTAATCACATCACTCCCTCTCCAGGTATCAACATTCAGGTCCATTCATTTAATGTATAACCCATAATGAGCTGTTACCAATTCATAAATTTGGTTTTAATACAATTTGCTATCATGGAAGTTTTCCAAGAGATACTATAATACAGCTTCTTTAAAACATATTTAGACACAATACAATCAACTTTAATAAAAAAAATACTTGGGTAATAGGCAGTTTTGCTATCCAACCAGCACTGTAGGTGTTGAGTGTGGGGGCAGGGACTGAGTTGTGAAGACTGGTCACAGAGAGTGTCCCGATGGAAAACTGAAAGATGCTACCAGTGGCTTCTTGGGAGATGTCTTTTTCAGAGGCTTGAAAAGTCACTTACCTGAATCAGAGTATTTATAATCCGAATATAATGTTTCAGGAGAAAAAAACCTTTTCAAGACAGTACGAAGGCATCTTTGATCCCAGGTGTCTGTAACTCTACCACCATAGGTGATTTCACCTGAAAAGGAGTTTGTATGCTCAAATACATTACTATTGGCTTTTTCAATTGATAAGCATACCCCAATTCTAACATGTTATTTGGGCACACATTTATTTTGTACTGAAGCCAGAAAGAGTGCACCAGACCTCCCTTCTGATCTGCCCTACCTACAAGATGATGAAAGCTGATTTTTAAAAAGTAGACAAAAAAACCTTAGTTTATGTACTCTAATAATTTTACATTTATTTATTTATTTATTGGTTGGTCATGGGGCTTGAACTCTGGGCCTGGATACTGTCCCTCAGCTCTTCAGCTCAAGGCTAGCACTCTACCACTTGAGCCACAGGGCCACTTCTGGTTTTCTGGTAGTTAACTGGAGATAAGACTCTCACAGACTTTCCTGTCTGGGCTGGCTTTGAACCGTGATCCTCAGATCTCAGCCTCCTGAGGAGCTAGCTAGGATTACAGGTGTGAGCCACTGGTGCCTGGCTGTCCTTGTCCTTTTGCTTCAGCATATTGATTTTGAGTCTTATTCTGTCATTGGTTACACGATTCCAGAACATATATACTTTTCTTCAAATGGTGTTTCTCTTTGGGGCCCATGAGTAAAACAGAATGCAATATTTATAGATAGATATGTTAGCCCTCTACACACTGTATAAATTACTAAGCTGTATATGGGGGACAGAGCCAAAGTGAAAGAGTGACCTTGTCTCACAGAGATTAGGTCTGGGGAATTGAGGTGATCCGGATGAGGGCTTTCCACAGAGAAGCTATTTTCAGAAGGTTCCACCCCCACCCCAACTTATGAGTGGGAAAGAACCACTTTGGACTGTTATCTAATGTTGTGAATATTAACTCCTTGGGAAATTCCAATCATTGCTTTAATGCCTCTCCATGTATTGTGTGCCTGGAAGGATTTCATGGCATATTGACATTGTCAGGGTAGTTGTTAGGGTTAAATTTTGGGAAATGCTTAGTATATGGACTGGCAGATAGCAAGAGTTATATAAGCTTTCCCTATCATTGACATCACCACCACCACCACCACCACCACCACCACCACCACTACTATCATCAAAAACATCAGCCCAGTTTTCTATATGTAAATATTCTCATGATGTTTCCACCATCTGAAATTCACATAGGGCATGTGAGAAGTCACTATCACCATCATTAAAGGCTGGGAGGACACTCTCCTCCCAGGGGTCAGGTAAGCATAAATCCCCAACTTTTAGATACCCAGCTGGATGTCCTGGCCAGTAATATAAATTACTGACCAGTAATGTAAATTAGTGCATCCCAGGGAATCTTTCCTTCTTGACAGTAAAGGTTGAGATTCAGTAAAGCACATTCTCTATCACTGTCATTAAATTCATAGCATATATTCCAACCAAGGGGGCCAAACTTCTTTCTCTCCTAGAATAGGAAATGAATATAGTTAGAAATAAAAAATAACATTAATTTTGGGTAGACTAATGAAAAACAAAAGCTTTTATTGGGGCGCTGGTGGCTCACACCTGTAATTCTAGCTACTCAGAAGGCTGAGATCTGAGGATCACAGTTCAAAGCCAGCCCGGGGAAGGAGAGTCCATGAACCTCCAATAAAGTACTAGAAAACCGGAAGTGGTGCTGTGGTTCAAGCGGTAGAGCACTCGCCTTGAGCTGAGGGACAACACTCAGGCCCAGAGTTCATTTACTTGTTTAATATTATACTTCCTTGTTGGTACTAAAAAGCAGAACTGAATATACCTGAATAATTGCATGGAAGAAGCAAATGCCAAATACTATTTGTCTCCATTTTCTTCCAAGTATATTTTCTTCAAAAAATGACGATGTCATTTCAGTAAATGCTCGCCTGATATTTGCACGTAAGCCTTTTGGAGGTTCATTGGTTACCTGCATTTCAGAGAGCAGAGAGGGCGAGGTCACAGAGTTGCATTAATTCTGAAAAATGCCCAGAGAGGCTGTAGAGAATTGATTCCTATGGAGGCATTGTTGGCATGTATCTGAGTTTTATTCAATCATAGTCCAGGGAGCACAGGACCTGGTGGGATCTTCAGACCTACAATGCTTGAACCATCTGCTTGGAAACCTCAAGTCACTTCTATTTGCTGTGCAGTTTCTTACATGTGAGTCAAATGGCATATCCAGGCTTTTGTCATTGGATTTTATAGTCACCTTAAAGTATAGCATTGTCCTGCACTGTATCTCCTGCATGATGTCTCTTGATGTGGGCAGGGAGGGAAGAAGTACCTCTTGTAACCCCTACTGGTAAGTATCCCACATAATGGAAACTTCCTTCACTGAACTCAAGCAGTAAAACCCCCTGCGTTCCTTTCTGTCCATCCAATGCTGAGATATTCTTTTTAATTCTGGGAGGGATCCCTCACATTTCTCTGTTTGCTAAACATTTTATTGTAGAGGAAAGAGCTAGAGAAGTTGAATGACCAATAACACCAGGGCATGCATGGATAGCACTGACTTCAGGAATCCTTTGTTTGCTTTCTACTTGGCCACACAGACCAGAACATGGCTCTGTGCAGGTTCTATGCTTTTCTCGGTCCCCTTGGCAAACATTCTGAGATCAATCATTTCGCATTCCAACTATATGCAATGCCTTACCTTGACAGAATTCTGAAGAACTGTAACAGGAAATGTACTACTAGGCATGGAGCTTAGAAATAGTCGGAAAGTATCCTTGATAACAGCCTCTATTTAAAATAAAGAAAAAAAGGAAGAAACATGTTCTTGTAGCTTGTAGTAGCACTTTTCTATAAGAAATAATTATTTTAGGAAAGAAAAAAATGCTGTGAACTCTGTTTAAAGACTTAATTGATTTGCCTCAAGTAAGCTGTAAACCAAACCATCTTAAGATGGGAGTGGAGGAGTTGTTCTAGAAATTTCACAGCAGGGGGATCTGGCAGTCGACAAGCTAGCACATTTGGGTAAAGAAATTAGGGACCCATGAAATTTTTAATACCTGATGAGATGTAAGGCCTTTTCAACGTAGGCTATTTTTATTTATTTATTTATTTTTGCCAGTCCTGGGGCTTGAACTCTGAGGCTGGGCACTGTCCCTGAGCTGCTTCTTTTTTGGGGGGGGAGGGGTCCGGTCATGGGGCCTGAACTCTGGGCCTGGGCGCTGTCCCTCAGCTCTTCAGCTCAAGGCTAGCGCTCTACCACTTGAGCCACAGCGCCACTTCCGGCTTTTTTATTTTTTCTGCTTATGTGGTGCTGAGGAATCGAACCCAGGGCTTCATGCATGCAAGGCAAGTGCTCTACCACTGAGCAACCTTCCCAGACCCCTGAGCTTCTTTTTGCTCAAGGCTAGTGATCTATCACTTGAGCCACAGTGCCACTTCCATAACTGAGGATATTTATTGTTAGCTTGTGAGTTATTTTTCCCCTAAGCTGTTCACTTTAAGGCAAACTGTATACAAATGTGCAGAAAGCCCCGTGGGAGAAGAAAGGCAGCCCCTTAGTAGAGAAGTTGCAAAGGGACCAGGGCAGGGATAAGGAGAGACTGATGAACAGAACTGGCAAGTCAGGATGCTTCTTTTCTGAGCTGTGGTTAGAGAACAGCATGAGGAACAAAGCTCCACTGTAGGTTCAAGAGGCCAAAGCAATGTTGGGAACTGCACTGTTGCCATCATTTTTTTTTTTAACAGTAAGTTAAATGCCTTAGGCATCTGCAATGGTGACCTCAACCTCGACTCCTGGCTCAATACTGATGGAAGTTATCTGCTTGACAATCTCGGAAGGACGGTGTTAATCAATGAGTCGCTTGTGGATCCCATGTCTTAGAACCTTCACCACAAGGGTTTTTTTTTTTTTTTCTCATAGTGATTCTCAAAGTCTTGGTAGGCATGCACACTGGTCCTTTTACTTTGAGATTCTTCTCCTTGGTGCTTCGGATCAGGTCAGCACAGACCTTCTCCGGAGACTTCACGTTGTGGCTGGTGAGGGTGATCTGAATCCGGTGAATCGCCACCTCTGGCTCCACAGGTGTTTTTCCAGTGTCTTTAACAGTGTTGAGCAACCCGGACAGAGCTCCCACGCACAGTCGCATCTCCCGCAGAAGGCTCTTGCCATCATTTTAAAAGCACATTATGCTGTTTTTCACACATGTCAGTCTGGCTCGTCTGTTGTCTGTGCACGGGCCATTCCCCTGTGGCTGGAATATTCTCTCAGATTCTCGCACTGTCTTTCTGTCTTGGCCAAACATCACCTTCTCAAGGAAGTCCACACAGATCACACCATTTAAAACGATCCTCCTTTCTCTATACTCTCTGCCCATTCCGATCTTTCTCACCTTCTTCATTTTACTTACTTTTAAAATATTTCCCAAAGCACAAGCACATGTGATCATGCCTTTTGTGGCTTACTCGTTGATGGTTTCCTTCCACTAGAATGCAAGCTCCGTGAGGTTGGTTTCATTCACAGACATACTCTAAGTACCCAGAACAGTGCACGGTATATAACAGATTCTGAATTACCCATTGCACTAGTGCAATTCAAAGCTGAATTGATGGCTCTTGGTTTGGTAAACTCCTGAGCTACATTAAATAGCCAACATTTTAAATTAGTTCTAGTACAGTTCTAGACCAGTACTAAGGTTGCTTATGCAGTAAAAATTACTCGTAGAAATAAGTTATGATTGAAATCTTATAGGCCAGTGATTGTACTAACCAAAAAGAAAGAAAAAGAGTAGATTTGGAAAAGTGCTTGTTCATACTTTTCCAGTTACAACTGAAATATCATAAAACATCTTTTTTTGTTGTTAATAATAATAATAATAATGATGATAACAAGAGCCTTATTAGCCAAGAGCCTTGAGCATGCTAAGCACTGGGTCTATTGCTGAGCTACACTCATAGCCTCAGTCTCAAAGCACTGCAATTTTCATAGACATGTGGAAATTCAGAGCAAGGAGAGAACCTCAGGACAGCATTTTGGGGAAGGATGGTCTGCAGTAATTTTATAGCAGGGGAAACTGAGGAGCAGAAAAAGACATGTGACACACAGTCAAGAAGTAATGGGTGAAGCTCTATTCAGTCTTAGCTCTTCAAGTCCAGAGGGCTTTGTCTTTTATTTCACTATTTCCCTCCCTCCCTCCCTTCTTCTCCTTCCTTCCTTCCTTCCTTCCTTCCTTCCTTCCTTCCTTCCTTCCTTCCTTCCTTCCTTCCTTCCTTCCTTCCTTTCTTCCTTCCTTCCCTCCTTCCCTCCTTCCTTCCTTCCTTCCCTCCTTCCTTCCTTCCTTCCCTCCTTCCTTCCTCTTTCCCTTTGCCTTTTCAGTTTACTACCTAAATGTATTTTATTTCATATTGCTTCCAGTTTGCTAACCTCAAACCTACAAGTTCAGCTGGTGTTCGTCCTTGGATCCCTGGCTAATGTTTTTTTCTGGTCACGAAGCTTGATGCTTTTCCTAGAGATTTGATTTCTTAATCAGAATTCTATCATTAGAGATCCCTGTTTTTTCATAGAAGTTTCATTTCCATTGAGTACAGATTATATTTTCTTTGCTGCAAAAGGGTGGGCAGAGCAGATGAAATTCTGGTTGGCAAGGGTGAAGGCTGGGAGTGGACTAGGATCGGGGCCATTTGGGGGAAGGTGTTGGTGAGCAGTGCAGGCTGGCTGCCCTGTGAATGAGGTTACTCCCCTGGCAAGGTAGCACTGAATAAGGTGATTTCCAGGCTGTAGTAAATAGCTATAGTAGGGAACTACAATAAGGATTGAGTACTACAAGCAAAACTATACTAAGCTGGGCTATGGGCTCACGTACTTGGGTCTGTGAAGGTTTTGATGAGCTCTTCCATTGCCAGCATCCAAGAAACAGCAAGATGGCAGTTCTGCAAAAACACCCAGTTTCCTGCTTTCATGGCATCCTTGATCATTTTCTCAGCAATGGGTCCTTGTCCTTGTCCCAGTGAAATTGACTGCACTCTGAATCCAAGGAGAACAGCAAAGGATTGTTTTTTTTTAAGTAATACAAATATTGGTTTATTTTATTTATTTATTTATTCCCAGTCCTGAGGCTTGAACTCAGGGTCTGGGCACTGTCCCTGAGCTTCTTTTGCTTAAGGCTAGGACTCTTCCACTTGAGCCACTGCACCACTTCTGGCTTTTTCTGTTTATGTGGTACTAAGGAATTGAACCCAGGGTTTCATGCATGCTAGGCAAGCACTCTACCACTGAGCCACATTCCCAGCCCAAGTATTGGCATTTTATTTTATTTTTAATTTAATTTTTTGTTGGGTGTGCGGCCTGAATTCTGGGCCTGGGCACTGTCCCTCAGCTCTTCAGCTCAAGCCTAGCGTTCTACCACTTGAGCCACAGCACTACTTCTGGCTTGTTCTGCTTATGTGGTGCTGAGGAATTGAACCCAGGACCTCATGCATGCAAGGCAAGCACTCTACCACTGAGCCACCTTCCCAGCCCCAAGTATTGGCATTTTAAAAGACATTAAATATGGTGTGAAATGGTTTGCCTATAATATGTACACATTTCTGGTCTTAATTCTGATAGGTATACAAATAGTTTTCTCTCTCTCTCTCTCTCTCTCTCTTCCTTCCTTCCTTTCCTTCTTATTCCTTCCTTCCTTCCTTCCTTCCTTCCTTCCTTCCTTCCTTCCTTCCTTCCTTCCTTCCTTCTTTCCTTCCCTCCCTCCCTCCCTCTTTCTCTCTCTTTCTCTCTTTCTCTCTCTCTCTTTCTTTCTTTCTTTTTTCTTTCTTTGTGAAAGTCCTGGGGGTTGAACTCAGGGCTTGAGTGTTGTTCCTCAGCTTTTTTGCTCAAGTCTAGCACTCTACCACTTGAGCCACAGCTCCATTTCAGACTCCTTTTGGGTAGTTAATTGGAGATAAGAGCTTCATAGACTTTCTTGCCTCGGTTGGCTTTGAGACTCAATCCTTAGATCTCAGCCTCCTGAGTAGCAATGATAATTGGTGTGAGCCATTTGCACCTGGCTTGCAAATAGTTTTCTTATACAGCTCTATGAATAATCACAGATGAACAGCTGTGGTTGAGAAGTTTTGCTGATCTCCCAGTGATGTTTCCTCTATGTCCCTTTCCATCCCTATCTCCTTTCTTCTTTCCAGAGGTGACTGTCACAATGAAAATCCTAACAGAATTGTGTGAGAGCTCTATGTTTGTCTTGGGCCTTGTCTCCAGTATTCAGCAGGGCTGAATAGGAGGGTAACACAGCTGGTCTGAATACTGAGTTGGGGCACTGGTCTTTTCTAGACTCCAGATGGTGACATTGGTTCTTTCTGTGTCTCAAGCCTGCTAGTCTTGTAACTGACCCAACCTCTCAGACTTTTGACTCAGACTGGAATTACACATCATCTGCTCTCCTGATACCCCGCTAGCTTACTACTGAATATGAACTTCTCACAGTCCATAACGGCATTATTTATATAATAAGTCTCTATATGTAATACATATGTGCATATACAGATAACACACACATATACACCTCCTATTAGTTCTGTTCCTTGGCAGAGCCTAACACAGAACATGACTTTCAAAGGAGGATGTGGGATCTATCACCCCCTTATAATGATCACTCCAGGGAGCAGGCTAGAGCAGCCACTTCATGCAGGAGCTCATCAGTGCTGGAGGCCCTTATGAGAAAACTGGATTAATAATAGAACATTAAAAGCTCTGTGGGTCCCCCTCCCAATTTTAGCATAAGTGCTAACTATATTTAGGAAGGGATATCTAAGTAGAATAGTTCATGCTGCTCAGGGGAAAGACTAAGACATTATCTCCCCATCCCCACACCAAAGGACAAAGGAGAAGATTTCACATGGGTTATGAAAAGCCCACAGTACAACCTTACCGATCAGAATACCCGCTTTCACGGGCGAACCTCTGAAATGCACCCATGGGATCAGAGCCTGTGCTTAGGATAAACACCAGGGGTGTGGAGCTTGACATGTCCTGATACAGAGTGGCTAGGTCCACGGGTGGAGTCTCTACAAACTGTTTCCCAAGATTCTCTATCACAAAGTCTGTGAGTGCAAAAACAACCTGAAAGTTGGAAAGAAAAAAATATTAAAAATCGTTTGTTAAATAAGGATCCTCTGCAATTGCATCTTAATTGTCTTCTCTGACTCCTCAGAGGGTAGTACCTGGATTTCTGTACTTATTCTTCCTTGATTGGGTGGCCTTCTTCCTAAAGACATACATTGATGGACATGCGCATGCTTATCTACTGATAGCCATGGTTCTCATGATGAACTGTTGTTTTAAGAGGATGGTCCCGCTCTTGTCCCTACACATCAGCATGGACTTCTCTTCAGTTGAAAGGCTGCACATGTATGAAGTTCTTCCCCCAACTGAGTCATAAGCCTAGTAACCCCCAGACAAGATCTCAAGTATCCCACTTTGGAAGGTTATCAATGGTGCGGCAGAGTTGCCAGGAAAGCTTCTCACTGAAGTTACTCTTACTGGCCTGGACTTCCTTCTATGGTATGGGTGTGGGCTTTACAGGGATCTGTATGAAGCTACTAACTAGAAGAAAAGACAAACTGTCAATAAAGTTGCTTTCAGCTTTTGAAAAAAAAAAGAGGATGGTCCCTCACCGATTTGTTAACTGTAGTTCCTGCTCACTCACTGAGATCACATTCTGAAACCTCCAGTATGTACCCAAAACTGTGGGTACTTTTATATACATATACATATACATATACATATACATATATATATATATATATATATATATATATATATATATATATACACACACACACACACACACACATATTTTCTTTTTCTTTTGTTGGTCATGGGGCTGTAACTCAGGGCCTGGGGTTCTCTCCCTGAGCTCTTTTGCTCAAAACTAGCACTCTACTACTTGAGCCACAGTGCCACTTCTAGTTTTCTAGTGGTTAATTGGAGATAAGAGTCTCACAGACTTTCCTGCCCAGGCTGGCTTTGAACCTTGATCTTCAGATCTCAGCTTCCTGAGTAGCTAGGATTACAGGCATGAGCTACTGGCACCCAGCGTACACTCTTCTTATGCTCATTCTTCTGATGATGTTAGATGATACAAAGTCTATGTGATGATGT